TCTGACATCCGCGGTGGTGTTAGCCTTCAGCGAAATCTCAGCCCCGATGAGTTTATAAAGTTTGAGCAGGGAGTTGTTCACGTTATTCTTGCTGGGGTTACATTTGCCATGACTCCGTTTCCGGTAGGGGCCTTGCTGAACCCGGGGTCTCTCGTGTGAAGTCAACCGTGTTTGTGTGTCACTACGGCAGACGTCCGGTGGTCAGGCTGTCAGGATAGCAACCCTAGCCGTTCTAAATAGTCTTAAGTCCGAATGCGGATTAAGTGCGTCAGAAACTGCAGTGAGACCCAATTGTCAGTGAAAAGGCATGTGCAAGCAGGGCATTAGCATCGTTCGCCACAGGAAATTCCGGCCTGCATTGGAACACCAACCCAGCGTCTTTGGGATGAAGAGTCTATAGTCGATAAGAATGATCGGTTGAAACGATAATGCCTGGCTTATTTGCTATTAAGAACCCCGTCTACCCTCGGGAGTACACTGAATTTTCATAGTTTCTGGTATTTTCCATTATCCCAGTGACCTTCCTCTTCTGTTCAGTCTATACTTTCATTTGCCGTTTTTACAAACCGTTATGTTAGTTCCGAACATTTGGAGAAATTTTCCAAGCCTTTGCCGGGTTGATATTATGGAGGAGCTTTGTCTGTTTCACTCCCACATGTCTTTGATTCATGGTCTGAACCTAGCTGCTGAAGTGTCTTCGCTTGTCATCATTTACTTTGTCTGGATCCGCCACTTAACTCGTTGATCTTCATTGCGACATCTTCAAGACGGTCTTCTGTATATCTCTTTAATGTTGTTCGAGATAATCATCCGACTACTATGGAAAGACCTCCAGTATTCGTGTGGATATTCACATTTAATTATGCAGTTTGTTATGAACACCTCGAACACCTTTTAAAACACCGAGGGATCTTTGGATTTTTTAGATTCAGCGATGATATCCATGTAAGCATTTGAATCGCAATCTTCACCAGCGCATGGCAGTACTAGACGAATTAAACGGCGAAGAACGAAGACTATTCAGCAGCTACGTTCAGACCGTGAATCGAAGACGTATGGAAGTGAAAGGGACAAAGCTTCTCCGCAGTATCAACCCGGCAAAGGCTCAGGCAACCCTTCCAAATGTTCCATTAAACTCTGCTGTCTATGCAAACCCTTATGTCTTGTAATACTACCTTCTCCAGGCTGAAGTGGTAGAAGAAGCAGTCAGTGGTCTGCCTTGGATTCATGTATACAGTTTTGGGCTATCCACTGCCGTCGAATCACTGATTGCCTTATCTTCGCGTCACAGACGACTGACCTTGTTACCGTGACTAAAGTGTGCGCACAAATTAGAACAAAAATCTGTCTGACATTTACATCAACCGGTCTAGAGCGTTTGATCGTTTCGTCCTCCGCCTCCCCCCACCGTCGGCGTGCCTACCTGACCGAGATTTTGCGCCTGACCTCTAGCTGGTCTGGAGAGCCTCGATAAGCTTATGCGTATATACAAATTGAAGAGTAGGCTAGCAAATCTTCCCATATACACATTAATTAACGTCAGTTGGCAGTGTAGAGGCCAGCCACACTGTCCTTCAAGTAGTCGTGTCTACGCGGGATCCCGGACACGCATTTTTGGAGTTCTGTCCATTCAAAAAAGCTAGAGAGGCCCTCAGGGCCAGACAGTGGAGAAATTAAGGGTAGGGCAGAAAATTTAAAGAGGAAGATAGCATCCAGAGACCGCTTACCGCCACAAACACAAGAGAAATATGGATTTTTTTTAAGGTATGTTTAGAAATGTAACTGTTTGCGGTGTGTTCTATACGTCTGCAGACAGCCTGAAAAATCCGGGTCGGAAGCGAAGCCTGTGGTCTTCCCAGTGGGCTCGGCTGACTTCGAAATATGTAGGGTTATCGATAAGAAGGACTGACTTTCGAGGTTTCTTCTAATTTGATTAATATGACCACGATAGAAAGCATTTCAATGAAAAGTGGTACTTCAATACGTGTTTTGAAAACTATCTGTGCATACTGAACCACCATGGTATTTGTAATAGCTGGTGTGGTCTGCGTGTGGTGGTTAGATTCCAGTTTCGTCGGGATCTTATCATAGCAAACAACTAACGGGCAAAACAACGAGCTCGTGGCTCAATGATTAGGGCGTTAAACTGTGGCATTCCATTCCCCCTTTCTTTGCCGGTAATACTATCTGCCTGTACTAATCGCTTGTACAGCTGATGCCAGGGCCCAAGAAATGAG